TTTTCATCTTGCTCCCAGGAATCCTTGAGTGTATAGGTTCTCTCCATTGAAACCATTTAGGTAGAATACTTGTGGTGGTATAGTTGTTTTACCAGTATTGTAATTTAGCTATGCAAAATTTAATTGTGGCTCTAAGGATTCAGGTTTGTCTCACGGTAAACCTTATCAGTTACACCTGGTAAAAGTTGAATACTGCATCCATTGATATTATATTCTGCTGAATAATATAACAAATTATCCATCTCTTTTAGGGCGGTTTGCTAACTTATTTTGCATAACATTTCTAACCACATCAAGTGTGCTCTTTGACGAATCCTAAACAGATATAGATGTACATCTTGATTAGGCCACCTAATCAGTTTACTTTCTAATACATTGAAAGTTTTTTGGTCTCTGTTTATGGTGAAAAAATGGGTTCTTCACAATTTAGTTGATGGTAAAGAATTAGTTAAGCCGACATTCCAATTACTTTACTAGATTAGTGGTATTGCACTTATTTTTCATAGAATATGAATATTTACTTTGTTTTTCATATCACATGTTTAAGATATTAAGTTCAATCTTCTTCTGTTGGCACCCAAAAGTTTGTCAAACTATTTTACTTTTCCTTTATGCAGCAGAATGTCCATCATCACAGAATCTTAGCTGATAGACGGTGCGCTTTTTGGCGGAAGCTGAGACAAAGATTTCTATTCACCAAAAAGATAGAGCCGCCATCAGCAAGCACTGACGAGTAGCACAGTCTCAGCCGATGCATCGACGAGCTGAGGCGGGCTTCCAATAGAGATCAGAAACAGGGAATGGCCTTTTGAGCTGGTAGAGGGATCACTAGACGTGGTGTTCATGTTTGTGTTGGCTTACATGCAGAAATAAGGAGGATAGTAAGACTCTTGGAGGTCATGTCTCTGCCATTCAAGGATTTCGATATCTGAATGTTATGACAATATATAGATAAGGGAGATAGCCCTCCGCGTCCTGGTGGCTACTGTATGCTGCAGCAAAGGGCACACTTCAATTACTGTGCAGGCAGATGCGGTGATCCCGGGTGTGCTTTGAATAGATATCAAGGACGTCATTACCCGAGCCGTTCCTATGATTGAGTGAGTGGTACTTCCCTCCCACCCCACAGATTACACTAATTTGTTTAATTATTATTGACTGGTATGACCTAATTAATCTGTACACTTAGACATGCGACCAAGGAATGAAAACTCTTCTCCAGAGATCTTCAAAATAGTACAATATCAGGTATTGTAGAGTACAATTTGTTTAAGCTAAGTTTTTTTTTGCATGGAAGCTAATTTTATATTTGAAGTGTAATAGATACACATGCCTGAATCTGGATACACTCCACTGCTGATGGTAATACTTTCCAGTCACTCACAAACAATAAGCTTCAGCATACAAGGCAGAGTCCAATGCTATTGGATTGGGGTGCTGGTATGCAATTTCTTGTACATTTTACTTCTATAGGACTTCCAATTACTGGCTACAAACTTTGTACAGGGCAGTCTGAGCTACCACTTGGTGAAGATGGGATTCAATATGTTCAGTGATACCCTTTTTTGTGTGTAGGGAATCACTGATATGATACAACTATTTGTTATCTGAATTTTCGAATATATGTACACCCATGGTGACGTTTCAATGCTCATTTATAAAGCATCCATCTATGAATGAATTTCTGAATATTACCACATGCAATGTGTATGTATGATGATAGTAGTACACTTGCGATGATGCAAAACACTTATGATGATGTTATTCAAGTATTGTACTACAGTTGCATTCAAGTCATTTTTTCCGTTGCAATGCACAAGCATTTGTACATATATAAATATATACATATACAACATCCTTATAATGTATACTAATTAGTCTTTGGTCAAATAAACTACTTAGCAACTCAGCTTTGCACTTCGCTTTGCCAGCATTGCCGCCAACACCAAACACAACCAGCCATCAGAACGTCTCCTCCGCGACCCTCAAAAAAAAATGTCTCCTCCGCTAGCATCAGCGCCGAGCAAAGACAACAAGCTATCAGGTGAGTTCATCATTATCTCCTTCAACCTGCCAAGCCATCAGGTGAGTTCATCATTATCTCCTTCAACCTGCCATGTATAAATTAAAAAATAATACATTGATTTTAAAAAACTTAACCTTATTTCTGACGTTTGCAAAAATTGGATTAAAAAATATTGCATAATGGCACGTGGAGCAGGTTATATTTCATTTTTTGCCCGGTGCAACGCACGGGCATTTGTACTAGTTGATGGTTAAAATTCCAAACAAAAGTAAAAAAGAAGAAGCTAAATTACAAAATAAAAATCATGGAGGCTGTGCCGCTTCACTAGGCACGCACTCAGCCCATGCCGGGCACACACGACCCACGAGCGAGCAAACGGCGCGCAAAGCGCAAGAACCAAGACTGACATGGGGGCCCAAAGCCAAGTCGCCCAGTCCAGTCGTGCGTCTCGTCAACCCACTCTCCACTACTACCACCACGAGCGCACTGTGGACATACATACAGTTACCGAGGTAAACCTCACTGGCGGGTGGGCCACGGCTCCTCCCTGCGAGGCACGAGCCCCACCTGCCAGCCTCAGCAGCAGGCCTCCAACGGTCACCCCAGCCCATCACGCGGCACGGTAAAAAACCGAGCGGTCGCATTATATACACCCCACCACGCCGCGCACTGGCAAAAACCTCAATCTAACCGTTGGCCTTTCCCGGCTTTCTCCCCTTCCCTTCCCCCAAAACCTCGCCGCCGCGCCCCCTCGGAGACGCCGCCGCCGCCGGAAGAAGGAGCCATGGCGACCACCGCCAGCGCCGACGCCTCCCCGGCCGCACAGGCGAAGCGCCGCGGCCGCCCCCCCAAGGCCCCGCTGGCGGCCGAGGCGGCGGAGGTCGAGGCGCCGAGGACCCCGTCGCCCGTGTCCCCGCTGACGGCCGCGGCGGAGGGCTACGAGCGGGAGCGGGAGGCGAGGATCAAGGAGAACATGGAGCGGATGCAGAAGCTCGGCCTCGTCGACCTCGCCACCCGCTTCAACCAGTCCGCCACCCCCGCCGGCACCGGCACCGGTCGCGGCCGCTGGCGTCGGAGGCCGGAGACGCCGGGCTCCCCCGACGCCGCCGCTCCCAGGATCAGGACCGCCTCCCCGATGCCGGCACGCCGGTCTCTCAGGTTCGTTTGCAGCGGATCTATCTTCTTGGCAAGCTTCTCCTGTTCGGTTTATGGAAGGAATCCACGGACTTCTTGTACAGCTTATTGTTCTTGCGTTCATCATTTTCATCCCACTGCAAATGCTCTTCTTGTGCAGCTTATAATTCTTGTGCGTCTATCATCAAGTATGAACATGCTGATTTCGTTCCCCTTTTGCAGTATGAATGTGCCATTTTTTTGTCATGTTGTATAAATTTGCTAGTATAACGCCGAATCCGGTATTCTGTCCGCTATTTACTTCCATATATTCCCCTTCCTGACCGTTTGTTTCATTCTGACCACTACTTTTGGCAGTATTTTAATGCTTACCTTCTAAGGTTGGCACCTCGAATCCAATGCTTACCTTCTAAAATTGGCACCTCCAATACTTAGTTTCCTGGAATAGGTTGATTTCTCAAGGGATATTTACAGTCCAGTTCATGCCACAAGTTCAGATCCAATAGTGGCAGTCCTTTTACAGTACATCAAGTTGTTTTGGGGCGTCTTTTTTTTCAACGGTTTAAGTTAGGCAATACTACAGAAGAATTCTTGTAGTTATGTTGGTTGAGTTTAAGCTATTTGGTTGTTAACTTTCGATATTCATTTCCTTCAATCCTCAACATTCATTCACCGCAGGCGTACCTTTCATGACATTAATGTGGATCTTCCTCTTTTGCGATCATGTTCAATTTAGGTTGAAGAGCGTGGAGCCAGTTAGATATGTTGAAATTTGTGAAAAGAGGGAGAAGGGTCTTGATGGTGGAAGGCATTTCTCTATTGAGGAAGGGTGCAAGGAAGAAGTTTACACTGAAGAGCATGAGAAGCTTTTAGGTACATGTGCCACACCCTGGACTCTCTTTGTGGACGGTTATGGCAAGGATGGGAAGCGCATCTATGATCAAGTGAGGGGCCAAACCTGTCATCAGTGCCGGTAAGTTTTCCCCCAAGAACTTCTAGGATTGGTGTAACTTTTCTGCACGTTCCTTTGCTAGGTCGTTCTTGTATGTGCAGTTTGCTGAACTTATAGCATAAATAGCAGCATTAGGATGAACATATAACACATAGTGTGTGGTAAAAAGGGTCTGATATTCTTAGTGTAAAGAGAATGTAAAAGGTAACAACACATGCTGTTGGAAGCTATTGCAGTCGCAGCTTGTGGTGTAACAGAGAAGTTTTCTTGAGGATGCATGATGTGTTTAGTAACTTTGTTTTTGTTTGTCATCTTTTCTTAACCCTGACACAAGCATTATCCTTCCATGATACAGCCAGAAAACTCTGGGTCATCATACAAGATGCTGTAATTGCCAGATTGTCCAAGGGCAGTTCTGTGGAGATTGTTTGTACATGAGGTGAGTTCTTTTTCAAAAAATTGAACATGAACATTCGCAAATGAAACATACAATTTTATGTTAATTTACTGCGAGCAGGCATGCTTCTGTGAAATGTTTGTTACCAATCTGTCTGGTAATATATGATTATGCATACATTGATGTTTTGTAATAGGGTTTGTATCTGCATCATAAAGGTTGATAGTATTCAAGTTAGATGAACAAAAAAATGAAGACATTCTGACTTGCAGTTTGTGAAACATATATGATTTATAGTGTTCAAGTTATGCCATCTGAGGTCCTAGTTCTGATTATTTGAAAAGCTTGTGGGATGAAAACAGGGAGGGCTGGGGAAATTTTGATCCTGAATTGAACTGAATCCCCCTAAATTCTCACTGGTTCCAAATTGATAGTGAGATTTCACCTCCATTTTGTTACTGCAATGTTGTAACAGAAGGATTAGCATATGGCTGTGTATTTTTCGTTGGACTGACATTTTATAACTAATGCAGGTATGGTGAGAATGTGCTGGAAGCTAAGAGCAATCCTAATTGGACATGTCCAGTTTGCCGTGGCATTTGCAATTGCAGCATCTGCAGAACTAAGAGAGGATGGTTCCCTACTGGTAATGCGTACCGGAAGGTAATATACAGCATATATGCTTTCAGAATGGAATGAGATAGTGTTTCCATGACTGTTAGTTGTACTTTTAAATGACCAAAGTTGGAAGAAACATAATAGAGCCAAAAGTCACAATCATTTACTGGGGTTATACTTTTTTTGTTGCTAATTGCTCGAACAGTGCTAAGCAAGCAGGTGTTTTTCTATGATGCAGGTTGTCAGGCTTGGGTACAAATCTGTGGCACACTATCTCATTGCAACAAATCGGGCAGGAGCAAACTCAGGGGATTCAAGCTCAGCTGACTCCTCAAACGAGCTGCCATCTGCTGATGAGGTCTCTGAGCACGCACCAGTTGCCAAGCAGGATGCTGATCTGAGCAGCAACACGATGAATGATGCTGGTGAAGTTGAGCAGAAGGAAGGAAGAAACATGAAGAAGAAGGCAGCAGCTGTCAAGGATGAAGCCAAGGCCCCGAGGAAGAAGATCACTGCTGATGTGGTCTGCAAGGATGATGGCAGGAGCGAGTCGGGGGTGACATTTGATAACCTGGAATGTCACCAGGATGTCGGCTGCGTCACTCCATCTAAGCCGGAGTCGAAGAAGAAGAGGAAGTGGGTCGAAGCAAGAAGCCCTGACTGCGTCGCGAGCAGGCTGCGCTCCCGGTCTGCTCCCAAGTCATGAGCACTTGGATCATATGAGGGCTGGCGACTCCTTTTGCGCAGGCGTATCTGTCGCTGGCATGGTTCTCTGGTTGGTGGTGTGTTTTGGTTCGTTGGTCGTCGTTTAGTTGCTGTAGGTAATTGCGGGAAGCAATGATGGACGTGCCTGGTCTGGTGTGGTGTGGACTTGCTATACCATTTTGTTGTGACCTTGACGCTCTGGTTTATCGTGTTGGCCTATCAACCTAGTGTTTCCGTTCATGCGTGTTGTGATTAGCTATTTAGGTTGTGTTCATCGTGTGTCCTGTGTAATTTGATTTTTTATATATCTCTTAAAATGTGTCTAGCAGTCAGCTTTAAAGATCTCTCCTTTGAATCTCACATACACAAAACAGTTGTGTTTTTGTGCATATTCGATCTCTCTGCATCAAGAACTGCCTCCACGATCACGGACTGTCCTTATTTGTCCTGACTCCACAACCATACGAGATGATTGTGTGTATAGGAGGAAAAAGAAAGAAGCATTGCACCTTTTGTCTTTAAATTATTTTCTAGTTGTAGTTGGTGCCATAAGGTCGAGAAGGCGTTGTGTGGATGGGCGAATGTTGTCGAAGATTGCTTTGTTCCGGTGCTTCCAGATCTCTCAAGCCGTCAAGGAGATGATAGCGTTCAGCCCTTTCCGCATAAAGGGAGGTGCGGATGCGCTAGAGCGCGCCCACCACCCCAAACCATCCCAAACAAAACATACCCTCTCCCAATGTGCGCCCTTTCCTCTGAGTCTTAGGCGCTCGCCTGTTTGGATGTTGGGTCAGCAAAGCCTGTGGGGCTGCCCGCGACACCATTGTCAAGCATCAAAAGACGGAAGACGAGGATCACGTTAGCCGACACAAAGCCTCATGGATGCCGATGCTAAGGAATGGATCTTCAACCCGCGGAAAAGGAAAACGCTTGATTCATTCATTTTATTGGCTATTGTTACATTTTATTTGTCGTCAATCATGTTAGCTTGTTTAAATTGTTGAATTGTTTTAAGTTGTTGTGTGTTATACTCCCTCCATTTTAAAATATAGTGCGTCCGCGCTTTTCGAGGTCCAACTTTGACCATAAATTTAACCAACGAGATCAATTGCGGCGGGAGAAAAAATTATATAATTGAAAACTTCTTTCAAATACGAATTCACTGACATAATTTTTGCTCCCACCGCAATCGGTCTTGATAGTTAAATTTACGGTCAAAGTTGAAGCACGGGGATAGAGGAAACATTACATTGTGGAATGGAGGGAGTATTTGTTATTGAATGATCTATGTGTATGATCTATATGGGTTTGAAAAAGGTAAGATGGGTGGAGGGGCGTTTTTACTAGGACGAATACATGAGGATCAAACCTCTGCTGTCTATGGTCATGTCCGAACATTTCATGGATAAATAGAGATTTTCAAATTAGACACTTGTCCTTGTTCTTGGAGACGATCTTATGGTATACTCCGCGTACTTTAGAGTATACTTTCTTTATGTCATAAATTTTTTTTTGTCACTACTCTCTTCTTCTTTTAACATGTTGTCGCTGTTCTCTTGGCTATAACTTTGCTATTTCGCTTTAGAAAAAAGAAAACTTTGTTGTTTAGCTCTCAGTACCACCCGCTTTCCTTGAGCGGTTACGGATTTCCGGAACCTGCCTTGGTTCTCTGTCCACAGCAAAATTGTCAGTGCGCCTCCTCTGGAACTTCCAAGTTCCTACGGTCCTACCGGTGACCCAAACCTCGCCGTAGAGCTTACCCCGCCGACGGCGATGGCGGCGGAAGCGTCAAGCTCGTCGGTCTTCCCCGAGGGGGATTCGCTCCTGCGGCCCCTCGCCGCGAGCGGGTGGCGCTTCCGTGACACCTTGGACGAGTCCATCCAGGCCCTCCTCCACGCCTCCCCCTCCCCGTCGCCGGAGGCCCTGGAGGCCGACCTCCTCGACACGGACCTGAGGCTCTTCGGCGGGAAGTCCCTCCCCGACCGCGCCGCCGCCACGGCCACGAAGCGGCTCTCCTACCTCCACGGCCCCATCGTCCTGCAGGTACACTGCTGAAGCCTGAAATCACCATGCCCAACACTTGTTCTTAGTTTTCAAGTCGGGGAAATACCTCATTTACTTATGAATTACGTGGCTTGGAAGGAAATAGCTGTGTTGGCTTGTCAAACAGTGATCTTATTAGCTTTCATTTTGGCCTAGTCTGCATTGTACTAGTGTTTGAGCATATGCTGTCTGGGATGTGTTTGATCCACTTTCTATGTTAACCTTTTCATTCGAAATTTATACAGGTAGTTTCTCTAAGGGATATATATAGCAGCAGAGTCGATGCCTCCTTTAATAAGCCGCAGCAACGGCGCCTTCTGCGGTTTGGCCTCACTGATGGTATTTCTGAAGCAGTGGCCATTGAGTTGTCCCCTATCCCGTTCATCACAGAAGAGATAGCTCCAGGCACAAAGGTTAGTTAACCATATTTTCTGTCTCAAGGTTCTACTCGTGCAGCGGCAGTTTCTGTTGGCATTCTTTTATACTACCAGAGGCAACATGCACAGTCACCGTACGTACCTGGTTTAATAAGCGTGAATATGTGCCGTCCTAGACTGCTATTCAATTTTGCTTATCAATTCAACTTGGATTAGAGACTAGAGACAAGCCTGGCAAATGCGGAGTACTTACCAAGCAGAATGCTCAGTTATTCCACTCATCTAGTATTGAATATAACATAGCCAATCGTTGTAAAACAAGATACTGCTCTATGCGATCAGTTGTGAAATAAACTACTTGAAATGATGTGTGGTGCAGCATGAGATTGGGTTAGGATGTAGTATTACTAATTCACATTGGTTCTCTGTCCAACAGTCTGTTCAAGTTTGCAACATTTAAAATAGCATACAATATCTGTATTTTTTGTGCTTTGGCTACGTGTTAAATATTGACTTTTGTATGCATTTTCCGTTTTCTCTTTCCACTCTATAGATTCGTCTTGAGAACAAGATTCCGGTAAATCATGGCATATTGTGCCTAGGTGCAAAAAATGTGACCGTCATCGGGGGAACTGTCCAATCTTTGTATGAGGAATGGAAAATGAACCAGAAATTCTCGGGCTTATCACGCCCAGTATTGAGGTTATCACAAGATGACGATGGAGTTGGGCCTCCACCATTTGAGAAATTAGATATCGAAGCACGTCCAAACAGGACATTCCAGTTGCAAGCATACCCCGGTAACGTATCATATTTCTTCTCTTTCTGTTTCTTCTTGTATGTTCACTAAAATGATGTCATTAGGCGTAGACGTGTAGCTGTTACTTTCAGGAAAGATAGCATCTTAAGTAAATAGGCGTAGGATTTTGTATTGGACTCAATTTGTGAAATCCACATATTTGGAAGATTATGATGTTCTGAACTATTTCCTCCAGAAAAAGATTTCTCTATGTTAGCCGTGAGCAGCGACATTTTTGTAAAACCTTTGGTGATGTAGCTGTAAGTTGTGAGCCACCCTGACTTATATCTTATGTCGTAGCAGACCAGAAGGGTAGAAACTTGGGAGTTGCTCATGACCACGTGTCGGTTAATTCCAGTTCAAAACCTACGAATGAGGGTTCAAGTAACATGAACAGAGAGAATACAACTAGCAAAGCTGAATCCAAACAGTCTACTGCAGATATCAGACCAAAAGAAGGTTGGCCTCCAAAACCCTAGTTTCATTTTGTTTAAATTTACTGGGCATGATTTTTGGGGTGCAGATAGAACTCAGAAGCTTCTTCATTTGCATTCCCAGTAAGCGAAGCTGTCCCTGTTCAGAACCAAGCTGCTGCACAGAAACTACTGCAGAAAATGGCTATGCCCGAAGATAGGCCTGGTCGGGGTCGATTCAAGGGCAGGAGCAAGCAGGAAGATACCCCAGTCTTTACCCTCGATGAATGGGAGAGGAGAAAAGCAGTCGGTTCGGTGTCCGCAGCAGAAAGGCATATACAAGACACCAGCCGAGACGAGGAACTGGCAAGGCAGCTCCAAGAACAGCTAGATCTAGAAGACTCCCACGTTAGTTTCGACTCCCATCTCATATCGCTTTCCTGTTAAAAAAGCATCCAGTAATGGCGGTCCAGAAATATTGTTTCATTAAATGGCTATGTGATGTCTTTCAGGCGATGCCCGTGACTTCAGAGGCCGAACGCCTGCGGATGAACATGTTCAGCTTCAACGGCCCTGAAGAAATGGGTGGCGGGAGAAGAGATTTCCGAGGACGCGGGCGGGGAAGGGGACGAGGGCGAGGTCGAGGCAGGGGAAGATTTTAGCCCAGTTTCAAAACTGTGTTTTTTTAGGGTACTCCAATCTGCAGAGTGGTGGTAGTATAATAGTAGTATTGATGATCATCATCACCTTTTGAAAAGGAGGCAGTAGTGGTCATCTTAAATCCCTCTCTGGTATCTTATGAGGATGATGATGACCTATTAACTCTTTATTAAGCATGTTCGTTTCACTCTTGAGTTGAGTTGCCTCTCACCTGATGCTAGCTAGCAAAATGTCAAGGGTTCAGAAACAAGGCAAACAACATGTGTATTTTCCATGGAATTTTTTGATTTTACTCATGGATTTGTGGAATCAGCAGATGTTCTGAACTGCAAACTGTTGACAGTAAATCAAACCTTTTTATGACTTGTTTCTTCTTCTGTGTTTTTACCCGATTCTTCTGTTTATATTATAAAATTGGTCTGTAGTTCCTGATGATAAAGAAATTTGTAAAAATCCTACTATCCCACAGGACATTCTGTGGCCTATTCGGAACAGTACCAAGTCCAAGTCTTGCTGAAAAATATGGGTATGGGTTACAACTCGGAACAACGTCAAGGTGGTTCCTGGAAAAAGTCCAAAACATAACGATCTTCTCCTGTGAATGAACTCTTAAACCTGAAGGAATCTCACGAGGAGACTCACGAGCACGAGCGCGAGAGACAGTGCAGCAAGCCACCTTCGCCTTCGCCCCGCGCGCTGCAGCTCCAAATCGACCCCACGACCAGCTCGAGAAAGCAATTGGGGATCCCGAGGGCGCAGAGGAAGGATCGCCGCGATGGATCCGGCCGGCGTCAACGGCGGCGTGTGGATCCGCGCGGCGGTGGCCGTCGCGGCGGGCGGCGCGATCGCGGCGCGCGCGGTCCGGCGCAAGTCCGTCGACTTCACCGCCGTCTTCGCGGGCGTCCCGGCCATGGTGGCCCACACCGTCGCCGGGTACAGGTGAGAGGGCGCGCGCTTAGCCTGGAGAAGATCTTCTTCCTTTTTCGTTGGACTCCTTCGTGACGGGGATCTCGGCTCGCGTCTCTGCAGGTTCGCGGGGCTGCTCCTGGTGTTCTTCTTCACGGCGTCGAGGGTGACGAGGACCGGCGAGGCGAGGAAGCGTGCGCTTGATCCTGAGTTCAAAGAGGGGGGGCAGCGCAACTGGTGAGCCCAGATCGCTCCTTCCGTGTGAGGGTCAAATCATCTCATCAACAAGATCCTCACGAATTCTGGTACTTTCCGGCATTAAACAAGAACAATTTGAGGGATACAAGGAGAATCGCGCGAGAGCTGAGACCCCGTCTTGTTTTTCTAGCTAGGGTTCTAACTACTACTATGGCATATGCGTAGAATATTCCTGTCCATCCTTCCCTCTCGCGTGGCTTATAAGCTACACTTGATAACGCACTGTTACAGTTCATAACGGTGTCGACAAATAACAGCTACAGGGTGAAACGGTGAGGATGAATCATAGCCGTTGATCTGTCCTGTCTTCATCCGAGCCGTCACTTCACTGAATCTCTTCTTTCTGCATCTCTTCTTCAGTATATGCGAGGCTTGGGTCCTGACATTCCGTTTCTCTCTTTTATCATCTTTGCCAATTAATACTCTGATGAGGGGATGTGGGCAGATCTTGGGAAGCTGGTCTTGGTATTGTTAGGGATGCTTGCTTTCGATTATGTACTACTCGTAGTGCTTTGATTCAGTAACAACTTCGTTGCTCCACTCCCACATGTGTACGGTGGATAAAACTGGTTTATGATGGCCCATGGGATAGAAAACTCAAATGAGTTCGGTTCCAATTATAGAGCAGCACGATGACATAATATCTGTCAAAAGAGAATTCACCGTTGAGCGGAAAACGTTTGTAATTCAAATGTTGAAAAGAAGAATTGCGAGCCTGGGTAGTATTGATGTCAGTGTGAGCCTTTTTGTGGAGAAGAATGGATTTTATATGATGATTATGTGAAAGACAGAAACCGGTGTTAATTTGCATGGATTCATTTTACAGAAGTGCTAGTGTGGTTCTACTTCTGTAGAGTTTAAACCTGAAGCATGTGGTTCAGTTTGCATGTGAATAGGAAACTTTAGTTAGAACAAAAGCAACTTCTTCTGTAGAGAACGTCGAGAACTTACGAGGTCTTCAATTATGTTGGTTTAATTTGGCGATATTATCTTGAGGTGTGTCTATTCTCTTTCAGCCCAGTAGCTGTATTTTTGGTTCCTGCATCAAGTTGAACCATGAATGAACTTTTGCTAGAACACCGACTAAAAAGCATGAATATTTGCTACTTGATGCAATCTGTTACACCTTCCCCAGAGAGTTCTCCAATTGTGAGATTTGACTAGATATTTATAAAGAAGGTGGAAAAAAAACTCAACATATCTAATGAGATGCGGAAGATGCCCATGTTTGTATGTTTCTAAATTCGATCAATATTATGACCTCCTTTGTTGAGATAAGACGTCTTTCAGCTTCAGAAAATTCCCTTCTGAATCTTTCTAATGCAGGTCCGCACCACTCTTATTGGCAGGAAGCAAGTCTTGTCAAATAGTGGTATCGCAAGTATCTTGGTAGTCCTGATAGCACTAATTACTGGAGGTGAAGACAAATGCTTGGATTCAAAAGAGTCGGGTCTTGTAACTGCCCTTATTGGTGGTGTTATTGGACATTACTCTTGCTGCAATGGTGATACATGGTCTTCTGAGCTTGGCATACTTAGCAAATCTGAACCACGAATTATCACAACATTCAAGGTATGAACCAAATCTTCTTTTCTGATTGAACAGAACTTCAGTATGAATATACTCTCACCTTTTTGTTTTGACATGAAACTTCGTTAGAGGGTGCGGAAGGGGACCAATGGCGGGGTAACCATAGATGGACTTCTTGCAGCAGCAGCAGCTGGATGCTCGATTGGGCTTGCATTTGTGCTACTAGGATTCTTAACAACCCAGTGTGCTTCTGATGTATTTTGGAGGCAACTGCTAGTTATACCCTTAGCTACAGCTGCTGGCCTATGTGGAAGCCTGATCGATTCATTACTGGGCGCAACAGTTCAGTACAGCGGATACTGCCGCGTTCGCAAGAAGGTATGACACTCCAAGCATTGTAGATGTTTAAATACCGTAATCATCTTTGAGCCATAATTTGATTGTTTGTTTGGCGCTGTATTATGCTGCTGTAGGTGGTTGGAGTAGATGGTCCAACAGTAACGAGGATTTCTGGAATGAATATACTGGACAACAACGGCGTCAATGTAGTGTCTATCTTCTTGACGAGTCTGCTTACTGCCTTGGTGTGCACATGCATTTTCTGAGGTCTATTTGGCTTGTAGTGGTAGCACGACATTACAGAGGATAACTAGGAAGGAACACGATTGGTAAATTAGAGCACGTAATCTCGAATAGTGGTGTCGTTCATTTATTTACGATCGGTGATATTGGGGGTTGTTGATTTAGCATTAGTGTGTTTCACACCAAGTATAGACATCTAATGTAAAAATTCAGTTGTAGTTATCCCATTCAGATGTAACACCGAATATTCGGAAAGAGGAATGGTTCTACCAGAATATTGTTTCGCCGAAACTATTTATTTGTATAGGCCATTTGATCAGTTTATCTTATGGAGCTTATAAGATCACCTCCTCAATTAACCAGAACTTGCTTATTTAATTGGTACTCCCTTTGTAAAGAAATATAAGAGCGCAATCACTACTTTAGTGATCTAAACACTCGTATATTTCTTTCCAGAGGGAGTACATTACAAGATAACTGGAATATTAAATCCTGCTTAATCTCAACAAAACTACTCATCTACCAAATGTTCTAAAAGTTGGGCAGTTTTGCACCTACCTTGAAGTGGTTGCCCTACTCCACATAAAGATAGTGGGACCCAGTTTGTGTAATGTACAAAATCTCAAGAATGCATTGCAAATAATCAGAAGATCCCATTATACAAATACATGCAAACAATCACAAGACATTTAATTAAACTAAAATCTTGATCATGCCGAGGAGCAAATTTCACATCAGCCGCAGCAAGAGGCACTCGAAGGTCTCGCAGCAGAAACAGCAGCAAAGATAGAAGAGAAGGCCAAGAGCAAAAGCAAGCAAAGAAGAAGATGGAAGGGGTCAGTCAGATGGCATCCATGGTTGGCGCCTTGAGGCTCCTCTTATAGGGAGCTCAGCTCAAAGCTCAAGTAGCCTCCCAAAAAAAACTAAACTCAAGCTCAGGCTCCACCTGCAACATGCCACCCTGAGAACAATCGCTGATCAGGCCTCGCACGAAGCGATAACTGCGAAGAGTTGGCGGGGATCTATGGTTTATTTGGATATACCATTTCAGCTTTAGGTGCAGGTGAGAATGACATAGCTTGTTCTATGGATGTTTTCTTTACATAACCCTTTGAGAATGTGTTTGTCATGTTCTTTTTTCATGAGATCACATGAGCATAGAAAAGGCACAGGAATAGAGCAAGTGGATAGCCTAAGCCCAACAGCTGCCAAAAGGGATATTCATGAGATTCCAGCAACTCCTGTTTTCTTCCTCTATCTACTCCACATTGTTCATGTTGTTAGAGAAGGCATTTTGTTCAGAAACAAACAAGTGAAATCTCAACAAAACGTACAGTAACTTGCATATGTTGTTAGAGAAGGCATTTTGTTCAGAAACAAACAAGTGAAATCTCAACAAAAGGTACAGTAACTTGCATATGTTGTTAGAGAAGGCATTTTGTTCAGAAACAAACAAGTGAATCTGACATTATATTACGCTGTAAAAAGAACGGAAATCTCACATACAAAAAAATGGCTGCAAAATTGCCACTCCTCACATACAAAGTCAGTAGCGCCCACTCTTCACAGAACACTGGGGGGTAAATCTCAATCAAGATTTTGCCAAGAAAGCAATGCCCATTACTCGAGAATTCGCCGCAAAAATAACCAAAAAAAATCAAGAATCCATTGTCTTCGAATCAACAACTATTAATTACAGACTTTGTGGCAAGGGTGGGGGTTTACAAAGGTAACAAAACGCCTTCTGTATCCCAGAGAAGCAAGCAACTTCATCTAGCTAGCTAGGAAGCAAGGGAAGGTGGGGTGGAGTATATTTGGACCCATGTCATGTCACGGTGGGGATTCTCGGAGGGGCTGCGGAAGGGGACGCTTTGGCTGGTTGGAACGCAGGGTCAGCGTTCCGCTCCAGTTGCTCCCATGTGAGCCTTCGACGCTCCTCCGCCGCGGCTCGCTTCTCTTCGTCCGCTTGGAAGTTGCTCTGGCAAGACAGAAGCAATCTCTCGTCCATGTCGAAGAACATTTTTCTCACATTCATAGTAACGTTGAGAACCGATTGGTTCCAGTGCAAACGTGCATTTCTCTCCAGAGCTGGGTATACGATTGGCACAATCACTTGACGGTTTTGGGAGATCATATCGAACAAATGTTCATTATTCCACAAGAATAAGGCTCTCTCAGCAACCTGCCAAAAGACAGGGAATAGATTAACTCTTTTTTTCAAGAAAAATGAAATCTTAACAAATAATTGGGCCAAAAACTGCAAGAGAAGACCTGCAATACTTGTTCCAGGACATGGAATTGTCATGAACCAAGACAGTCGTAGTGCTACTAGGTCATTCATAATCTTATATTTATGCACTTCTCTAACATGAAACTCGATGGGGAGAAGACAGTATACATAAAAAATCTTCTGATGTTCTTTCCAGAGCAACTGCTATTAACTACTCCCTCCATCCCACAATATAAGAATGTTTTTGACACTACACTAATGTCAAAAACGCTCTTATATTATGGGACAGAGGGAGTAGTATTTTAGTAGTCAATGCCAATCACTGATTTGTTTCCTTTCAAGCGTTGAGCTATCAAAGGATGTTCTCTACTGTGATGTTTCAGTCCAAATGACGCCCTTAATCAAATCATGGTTCTGTGGTTAGCATATCCCAATAAATTGATTAGAATATCAAATGGAAAGCAGAATTCTAACTAATTGATTGTCAAGCTCCACAAACCCCAGGATCTGATTTATTTGGGTGGTTGCAGCCATAATTTGTACCATGACATGACCTTATAAGTTATCAAACAGTTGTGATCATCCTAACTTGTACCTCAACCAATATATTCTGCCACATTAATTGGGCCCAGTTTCAAGTTATCTGCCTTTGGATTGCGGATTTCACCTTTTTGTGACTGTGCAACCACCCAGATATAAGATAGAGCCAAAGTAATAACGTGGTATTTCATGTCTATATTTAAATGTGAGTGGTATACTCTCTACAGACTTCCAAAGTGAAGTGCAGGCCACCAATTGCACCAGAACCAACAAGGCGAACAACTGAGGTGTTTTGTCCCACTTTAGCCAACAAGGAATGAGTTTAACCACTGATCAAATAATAAACAATAATGACTATGGCATAAAAGGTGCATGGGACCATGCAAGTAACACTAGCAAATTTAAAAGGTGCAAGGAAAAGGAAAGAGAACAGGCACATTCTTCGACTAAAAACCTAAAATAAGCAATAGAATGCACCAGTATACAGCTTCGCAACTACTCTACAAAATAATGGTGATGATAACTTCCTACCAGAGGACACTCATGTTAAATTCTTACTGATGTTTCACAAGCTTTTCTTGTTTCTTGTCGGTATTTCTAACCCTAGCAATTGTTGCAAGACAAAAAGCAATTGTTACGGGGAGACACGGTTTAGGGACAAATATTAATCAATGGCTTGGGGAAGAAACTTGCCTGAAAATGGGAGCTATTGAGGCAAGTCGCAATCCTCCGGAATAATGGCACCATGCACTTCTGAAACTCAGCCATATCAATCAACTCAAGCACTTCTTCTAACTCCCCCAAGAACATCATCTCCTTCTGACTATTTGTAACCGGCCAGTACTTCAACAGACCCCTAATCACAGTTCCTGCAAGCTTGGGTTCCTTCTCTATAAATTGTGTTATGCAGTAGGTCAGCTGCGGCAGATATACACCCACTGTCTTAGGCTTGTGAAGTGGGATCAACGCTTTCCATAGGAACAACTTATGCTCCTCCTTCAATGGCTTTGCAAACCCACTTATCACGCTGCCAAACACCTCCAGCAGCTCGGATATCCCATTGTGATGATCGGCCTCGGAGACGAACCTATAGAAGATATTGCTCACGGCCTTGCGGATGAACGGTCGGTTTCCCATGAATTTTCCATATATCCTGTGCAACACTGTCTTCAAACAGTCCCTCTCTCTGGGATCATCAGAATCAAACAGGTCAAGCAGCTTTGAGATGAATTTACTGTCCACATACTTCCTAGCCACCTTGGGGTCAACAAATGGCGAGGTCACAAACCGCAGAAGCAATTCATACACAACTTGCAGGTGGTACCAAGAGGGGTCGAAGAAGGGCTCGTCCTCCTCCGTCTCCGACGCGGTGCTGCCTGACCGGACCTTGGGCGGGAAGACCCTGAAGAGGTTCACAGCGAACATGCGCACGCACGCCGACATCATGGCCTCCGTGAGGGGCTCCTCGGCGGCGCCAATGGAGTCGACGAGGGACATGAGGACCTGCCGCTTCCTCTCCTTCTCCGGCGAGTCCTTGCCCCGGTCGGTGAAGTCGTACACCGTGCAGCAAATGGTCACCTTCTCGATGAAGGCGTCCTCCCTGGACCTCCCCTCGGCCCCGGCGGCCCCCGAGGGGGACCTGGGCGAGGCGGGGGGCTTCCCGAATGCCCCATTCTCCCTGGGGGACATGGGATTGGACTTCGCCGTGGGCGAGCCCCCACCGCCGCCGCCGCCAGGGCCAGATTTCAGCGATTTCCACGACAGCTTGCCGATAAATTGCTTCCACATGGCGGCAGAATACGGCGGCACCAACACCACATCAAATTCTCCCCCAATCAAAGAACCATTGCGAGAAATCCGTCCTCCGGGGAACCGACCGTGAAATTCCTCGCGGAAATTTTATGTAAAAGACGCACCTTGCGACAGCAACAGGAGATTGCAATGGCAGGCAGGGAGGGGGGGACTTCGACAGCAACGGCGACCGGAGATCTCAGGGCAAATTCCTTGCTCTCGGGCAGCTCGCCGGCGCAAATGCGACGGATCAAGAACCAACGAACGAACGCACCGCCAAGAAAGGGGGGAAAGGACAGGCCGCCGCAATCAACGGGGCGCGCGGAGGGGCAGGGAGCGCGACGGCGCGGAGGGGGGAGGCGGATCCAGCAATGGCGGCCTCAGGGCCAGATCCGGGGGCAGGAGGCGGCCATGGATGGGATCTCGGGAGGAGGGAGGGGAGGGGAGCGGGGAAAGGGCGCAGAAGTGGGGAATTTTTTTGGCGTTTTGGAGGGGGCGGTGGTACACAGACAGACACACACTGGAGGACGACAGTGCGAGTGAGGGAGAGAACGTCGCAGTGGCGATGCATGGACGGTTCGGCTCATCCGGGCCGTCCGATCATGGGGGGCGTGGTACGGCGGCCGTTGGATAGTCGAGCGGTTCTTTCCTCCTCCTGGTAATTTCTTCTCCTTGCAGAGACGATGATGGCGATGTTGGATGATAGGAGATCAGGTGCAACGGTCGAGAAATGTCATGTCATTCGGCAGTTCATTTTTTCTCCGTCTCAATATTAAATGATAAAAATCACTGCGATTAATTAATCATGATGGAAGTATGGCGTCTTTTTAAAAGAAATAATAACGTATCATTATGGAGATAATGCATAATACATAATCATCTGGGGTCCCGCTGAGTGGGACCCCCGCTGGACCGGGCTCGTCTTCCTCCCTGTCAATGTTTTTTTTGTATCAAGCTTCGTTCTTTGGGTTTAGTGGTGCTTGTCGAAGTGTCAGGTTAGGCGAGGATTTCTTTGAGTTGCAAGACATGTCGCATGCTTCTAGATTTTGCGTCATAGGTGACTCATGTGGTGGCGGCGGCTCCAACCCAAGCCCTCTGAGGCAACACCACATCTGTGTTTCAGCGGCAATTTGAGAAGCGGGAGAGGGAACAAAATGCAAGAGCTCACGACAGCGTGGAGTTGATGTTTTGCTATGGATTTTGTAGGAACTAGAAAATATTTTTGGGACAAGGATTGCGATCCTTAGAGCATTTAGAGCTAATTTCTTTTATTATTCTACTCGGCCTTTTTGGCTCTTAGGCTCCATGA